TCAAGAAAGTCAAACCTTCCCTGCCGCACTTACAGAACTTGCAGCTGACTTCTTCTCAAGCGCCACAGCATCCTCCATCTACAAGAACAATCAGTGTGAACTGTCATCATCTCCATCATCATCATCATCATCATCATCATCATCATCATCATCATCATCATCATCATCATCATCATCATCATCATCATCATCATCATCATCATCTCCATCATCTCCATCATCATCATCATCATCATCATCCCGTCGCTTCTCACCATGCGAGCCCAGGAAGGCAGGCTGATCCTCCCAGCCTTGATTTCACCTGCCGGCAGACTTTATCACCTTCTATTCAGCCATGTTCCCTAAGAGTACCCGACAGGCGCAAGATCTCATTCTGAACAGAATTCCTGCAAGATTGTTCTTGTTATGCACTGACTGAGCTCAACAAACTTCTTACTTGTAGCCTCGTGCTGTCATCCATTTCTTCATCTCATCCTCGCCCATCCCCTGGGTCAGCCTCTGGACTGTGAGGACCTGAAGGAAGAAGGCGTTTCAGAGAAACGATGGAAAGCAGGACAGCAACGACAAGGAGGGAGGGGCAAACAGGAAGGAGGAAACAGGAGAAGGAACAGGAAGGGGGAAACAGGAGAAGGATGGGGAGAAGGATTTTGAAATACTCCTCTCTACAATACACACAGAGATCCACCCACCCCCTTCTCCTCGTCCTCGTCCTCGTCCTCGTCCCCCCCCCCTCTTCCTCCTCGTCCTCGTCCTCGTCCTCGTCCTCGTCCTTCGTCCTCGTCCTTCGCTCCTCCTCAATTCTCCTTTCACGCTCAACTCTGATGGCATCCCTGGGCTATTTGAACGGTACTCATCCTTCCCATTGCCTTTTCCCCCCCCCGGGGTGGGGGAGGGGGACTAATCGGGAGCTGCTGCTGCTGCTGCTGCTGCTGCTGCTGCTCCAATGCTCCACTGCTCATATTCTTCTGGAGAGCATTCTTCTTGGCTAGGGGAACCTGGCACTGTCCATCACAATACGACAGGAGGGTGTGGAGATATGGGAGGAGGGGAGGCGTATCCTCGATGGTACACTGAAGCATGGAGTGGACCGAGAATCCCCTAGCCGGTGTGGAGTTGACTAGGGTTAGTAATCCCCCACCGTCACCCAGTAAACTTAGTGAGGACCCCTGCGTTTCTAAAGAGAAGCTGACGGTTGGGTCCTATACTCCCAGAGACCCATGGTAGAGGACCCTCCTATCCCCTCAC